TTCCTACAAGAAGCCTTGTGAATTCTGCAGGGGTTTGAGGGACGAGCCTTTACGAAATCCCGACTGTTTTGACTCAAGCTGTGCGGAGCAGGGCGCGTGCCGGACGATGACTCTTGAAATGTCAGCCTCGTCGAAAAACCCTTCTAAGCCAAGCCCATATGAGCCATATGTTTGGACTTTGCGACCTCAACAACTCTATCGCAGCACTCGCATGGAAATCAGATGCGAATTGATACCTCTGTTGGATCGGATGCCAAACTACTGCGTGTGCCCCTCTCTCACGTATCAGTCCGGCGACCATTTTGGGGACGATGCCCTGCCCTGCAGATCTCTCAGCAGCGCCGTCACCTCCACGTTGCTTGCTGTTTGCCAGCTTGGTCAGGACATTGCGGCCAATGGGAATTACGCGGCCACCAGCAACCTCGACCTCCAAATTGAGGAATCTTTCCACTTCTCTCTCCGCAGCGGCTTCTGTCTCCTGCTTCAACTCCTGCAGCGTCTTGCCAGCGACCATGTCCTTGCGCGATTCTGTCAAGTCGCCAACGCGAGAGCCACCTGACACGACAGGGAGTGCCCTTGCAAAACAACACAATTGAGCAAATAGCATCAACACAAAAAAGCAACCTGACTACACGCGCGACCGAAGCACAGGCATCGATGATGTCTTGAGCATTCTCTTCATGCCCGTGCAGGGTGAGCACCTTCTTCGCCTCCTCTGCCGTCAGGTCATCTATCCACATGTCTTTCTGACGATTTGCACCACCAGCGTCGAACGCCAGTGCAGCAAGAACCCTGAAACCCAGCCCCGAAGAAACGGCAACACACTTACTTATCAACTGAGGACCTTATTCTGGAACGGTTACAGAGCTCTTGTTTTAAGTTCCCAGCGTGCGCTGCTTTGCCCCCTTCCGTGGATAAATCCTTCGATGTCGAAGAAATGGTGTCCATACCTGCGCGAACAGAGCAGGGTAAGGACTAGTGAGCTTGAGTGGCAATGGTGGTTAAGTTTTGTCCCCTGCCTTTCGTTGTGGTGCGTGGGACTTCAAGCAGTATGATTGGTGTCTTGGTGATGGGGTCAGCCAACTTCGCTAACTCTGCTTTCACACGGACAAGGACAGTCTCAAACATGCCAGGTCCATCAACCTGAAGGCTCTTGTATAGCTTCTCTTCCCAGTGCTCATCCTTCACCGTGTGCTTGAAGATTCCCCGTGCACCACGAAAGACTTCCTCCACCGCAACGGTCTTGCCAGTCTGGAAGCGGCCGCTGACTATTGTGGCATGCTCGTCCCATGTCTTGACCCCGTTGGCGATGGTGTCCATGACCTTCCCGTGGATGACCTTGCGCTTGGGCATCTTTGGGACGAAAGGCTCCATGAACTTGGCGACTGCAAGTTGGACCTTGTACTCATCGGACTGCTTGAACGCCTCTTCTGCCTGTCGTTTTGCCTCTGCTGTGGCTCGTTCTGCTTCTGCTGTGGCTCGTTCTGCTTCCTGAACCTGCCGATAAGTCCAAAAGGCAGCCGCTGAGGCTATCAAAAAATCCCTGTTGTCACCCACGGTTTGGACAAAGGTCTGAGCAGCTTCCTGCGCAGACACATCTGCTGACACTCGCTCCGGCACTGCCACGATGCATGTGCTGACCATTGCACCACACAGTGGAATGTTTCGGCGCGTGCCCAATCCCACCTGAAGGGGCTCATGCAAACACGAGCGGGAAGCTACGATTGCCAAAAAAAACCTTTTCATTCCCCGCATAGTATGTCTTCCCACTCCCAAGCCTCCGGCGG